AGGTCTCCGTGAACGCCATGCCACTCAGACGGCGGAAATGCAGAAAACGCAAGAGGAACTGATCCGCGCTGAAAGCGATCTCAGTGCCGTCCGGGTGGAAAAGGCAGAAATTGAAGGGTCGTTCCTCCGAGACAAGGAGGAGGCGCGCGGGCTGCACAAGAAGATGGTGGAAGCTGGTCAACACATGGAAATGCTCAAGGTTGATATCGAAAAGTCCAAGAAGGAGGCGAAGCAGCAGAAGGGATTGTTGGCGATTGCCAGGAAGCAATTGAGCAGCAAAGAAGCAGAGCGGGCCAAGGTCGAAAAGGAACTCCAAGAAGCCCAAGCCGAAGCCGCCGGTGTTGCTTCAGAGAAGGATCATATCGATGCTTCCATTGCAGCCCTTGATGCTCAGCCAATGCCAACCGCCCCAGTGGCTGTTGTCGCCCCGCCGCCGGAACGAACAACGTCCTCCGACTCTCTAGCCTTTGCGGCCGGACATACTTTACCAGCCTCTCCAGCTCCCGACGCAGGCAGCCCGTCTCTTGCCTCTAGCATCAAGAGCAACAATCCCTTTGACAGACTCATGGGCAACTCGACACCTCGTTCCCAGTCGCCTTTTGCACCTGGGTCGAACCCTATTTCGCCCGAAGCGAGTCTTGATGCCGCGGCTGGTGATCCGTTTGGATTCGCGCGTGCATTTGATGCCGACGAGGTGCCGGAGACTGCCACTCCCAAGCCGGAACTAGCGCCGTCTCCGAATGAGCTGATGGTCGACGATAGTGCGACGAGCGAGAGCGACGTGTTTTCTACGCCGCTCACTTCCTCTGCGCCTGTGTTCCCAGCTATCGACGACGTTGTAGCTGCCAGTGGCGAAACGGAGCGTTCAGATAGCCACCCACCTGGTCATTTCGAGCCCGAGCCTGCTCCTGCTCCTGCTGAAGCAGATACCCATCTTGGGACGCAGCTGAAGGACCTCGATGTCGAAGAGTCTGACAGTAGCGACAGCGACAGCGAGGATGCTATACCTCTCGCAACCCTCGCCAAAGCAAAGGCTGCCGAGTCTTCGGAGAACAACTGGCGAGGCTACACCAGTAGAACCTAGCTTTGACGATGTCTTTGGTGTGTCGACTCCAGCACCCCAGCCGAGTGCGACACCAGCCGCTGCGGAGCCTCTCACCGACGCGTTCGGAATGCCAGTTTCCGACGCTAATGGTTTTGCACCCCAGCCAACGGTCGCTGGGGTAAATGCCTTTGATGAAGCCATGGGCAAGATCCCGGTGACCAGTGCACCCACGCAGTTCAACGCTTTTGACTCTGCATTTGACGACAACTTTGACTTTGCGGCAGCTTCAGGACCGGTGGAGACGACCTTCCCCCCACCCCCTGCTCTCAACGGCCATGCTGTTTCGCCGCTTCCGCCCAGTGCGAGCAAAAATGAGTTTGACAACATCTTTGCCAGCACATCTCCTCCCGTCAAGTCCAGCGTCGATCAAGTCGCTGCGGTAGCCCCGGTGATCGCACCTCAGCCAGTCCCGGCCACAAACGGAGTAGCAAAACCCGCTGGGCCGTCATTTGAAGAGGCGTTCGCTGGGTTTGATTCCGGCCAAGAAACGCAGAACCTCGGGGCCTCGCTTGACAAATCGACGAGCGGATCTGCACAACAACAATTCCCTGCAACCTCGCCGACATCATCCCCAAAGAGCACCGCTCCTTCGCAAGGTGCTTCAAGACGTTCGGTCTCGCCACCCCCGCGGCATAGGTCTCCGCCTCCTCCTCGAGGTGGGTTAACAAAAGGGACGATCTTCAACTGCGTCGTCCAAAGAGGAAAAGACCAAAGAGAAGGAAGCCCACCCACCTCGAAGCTCAAAGCTCAGCGTAAGTTGTATATCTCTACTCATGAGCCGCTGCTAACCTTTTGGCCCGTAGATTCGTCTACCCTTTGGCAAGAAAAAGAACAAAAACCCCGAGCCGGTTCCAGCGGGTCCCTCTCATCTCCTCACACCTCCTCAAGAGGAACCAGCGAGAACGCCGACGCCCTGCAGTCGAAGATGACGTCGAGGCAGTCAAGCAGTTGACGGCGATGGGCTTCAGTCGTTCACAGGCGGTCGACGCGTTGGAGATTCATGGGTATGATGTTCCAAAGGCACTAAACAGCCTCCTTGGCGCTCAATGAGGCTATTTCGCTCTTTAATTAGTAGTATGTTAATATCTGGAACCCTCCTTCGAATTATGAAGCCGTGACTGGGAGTGTGACCCAACTTATTATCTACTTCCACTGATGTCCGAATCGAAGCCCAGTTTGAAGGAACAGAACCGCAAGTGTGTTTAACGCCCGTTGCTGTGCCATCCAGAAAGCTTACTATTTAGGCTGCTCGATGTCCTCCAGGCCAAGCTCAGCTCTCCGGAGCGGTATCTAGTGCGTGAACGCGTCAAGCTTACGGGCCGACTCAAGCCACCCCCTCCCCCCCACAGCCTGCAGCCAAGAAGTTCGGGCCGTGGCTCAACAGCGACAGGGCATACTACGTGAGTGTCTGTATCTCAACCCTGCTTTCACACTCAAGCCACTTGGTAGCCGGAAGCACGCCCTCAGGTTCGTCTCAACGTATTCTTTGACGCGTCTAAAAGCTCGTGCAGATACTGAGAAACCTCGAGGTACGCAAACAACCGTTTTCTCACACTGGGCGCCTCACGGTTATCAGGTCGCGGCAGAAACGTTACAACGCCACAGTAACGAAGTTGCTCCAGAACAACGCCAACGACTTGTCGAGGCGTTCCTCTCGCTCGTTTTCTACATTCAGCCTTTTGGACATCACTTCGTTGAACCAGACGAACAAGGCGCGTCCTGCGTGTTGTTATAACACGCGTGCATCGATAACACACTCCAATTAGGCCGTTTGCAGTCCATTTTTTCGAGTGCAACGTATTGGCAGCAATTTGCCCCTCCGCCGACGTAATACGAGTTCTGCACGTCTCATGCTCTGTCAACTGATTACGAACGTTCAGCTCTACGTCCAACGCTCCAAGTCTCGCACCTTCCCCAACTCAACTTGCCCCGAGTTTACCAACCGGAGTTATGCCTGAAGCTCCCGCTGTTTCCCATCAACCACCCGTCCTCTCTCCTTCGGATGTGATCGTCTTAGATAACCCGTCGAACGTCCCTGCGCGCGAAACAACGACCGAACTTCCATCACCAGTACGTCGGGGTTCGTTACGTCGAGCTGCACAAATCTTAGGTCGATTGCAGGTGGAGGCACCCATTCTGCCCGCAACCACAGTACCTGTTACCATGAAACCAATTCGCAAGAGCAAAAACAAGAGGAAAAGGATGGATGCCGATCTTGACAAGTTCGTTGAGGCCGACGCCCAAATATACAAGCAGCACCGCACGGCAGCGCAGTCTTCTGCTACAGTCTCGCCAATCATGGTCCACAATATCACCGAGTTACCCATCACCTCTACTCCACCAAACGGCGCGGTGTTGGAGCGAGGGACTGAGCAGGACCCAATCGTTGTCACCAAGTCCGAAACTCGTATCGATGAACCTGTTCCTAGTAACTTGGCCACTGCAGTGGAAACAGTGGTGAATGCTCCGGAAAGTATAGAACCACTCAAGATGGAGCCTCAAGATGTTGAAATGCTCGACGTGGAGGTACGAGCATTGATTCTTTCGGTCGCTTTCTCACATTTTTTTTTTTGCTCAGTCGAACCAAGCACCACACTTGACTCCAGAGATGGAGGCCGAGGTTGATCGTGTCTACCACAAACTAACCGTTCCGCTATCGGTGCAACAGGCCATATCACATAGTTCGACCGCTTCATCCACAGGTCAACCTGCCATAGGTGTTTTTCCGGTCTCCCGACCCCATTCTCCCCAAGCGGTCCCGAATGTAGAAGCAGTATTGAACCACGCCGCGACAGAACCCGTCGCGAATATTCCGTACGAGGAAGAAGTCGATGCCATAGCCGTTATGCAGGACTTTATCAAGAATATTGTGATGAAGGTGAACGAGCGTATTGCACTCGATGTAAATTTCTCCGGCTTCTCAAGTCGCACCAATGTCTGAATGGCTTTCAGACGCAGGCTGCGGAGCCCATAAAAGATCCTGCGCAACTGGTAGAAGACATTCCCAATGAGGTTTCTACAGGTACGCTCTAACTGTCAGCTTCTCGATGTTCACTGTTCCAGCTACCGGAATTGTCGCCGAGGCGATCATTGGGCGTCATCGAGGCTCTGCCCAAGGGCCTTTTACAATGAATTTCTCAATCAGCCAACATCAATTGGACGCTCTGACTCTGTGGAATGAGCGGTGGAAACATACAGAGTGAGTACTTTTCAACATTTGATATTGCAGCCTGACGAGACGACCAGGAGCATTGAATCAAGTCTATGCATATCACTGTTGTGTTTCAAAGAAGCCGATATCAGAGCGCGTTTGGATCCAGCCAAGAAAATTGACTTTCGCTCTCTACTTCGAGACCTTGAGTGCTGCTGGCCCAAGTCAGGTGAGTGTGTTATCGTGCCCAATGTTCGTCAATATTTATACCCTGAAGGCGATTTGAGTGCATCGTGGAATGGTCAGCCGACACAGCTACCAATAGCCCCGCCTCTTGCTGCAAGTCACGACAAATTACGACTGAATTTTCTGGCTGACATTGTGCAGTACCGGTCGGACGAGCCAGCTATCGTCGATATCTCCCCGTTCGTCTCTCTTGGCCCAAATAAGCTGACTTTTGCGCAAAATACGGACCTGACGAGCTATTGCTTTGTGCTCTGTGCTCATAATCCGAGTCCCGCCCAGCTTCGTGCAGTACAACGTCGGCGGTACAAAGAGCAGAGCTGGATGGCGTGGTTGCAGAAGCAGACGAAACCTTTACCACTGCCGTTTAAGTTACCCATACCAATGGATTCTTGAATACTAGCCCATCGTCCTGGTGCGTGTTTGTGAGCTGTGTCTGTTATAAGGGTTTGCTTCCAGCTGCCAACGGTTGAATTAGCCATAATTGTGAACTTCAAATATCACGATATAGCTCAGCGGTTTAGAGCATACGATTGCAATTCTGTATATCGTGAGGTCCCGTGTTCGATCCACGGTATCGTCTTTTTCTTTACCGCCTCGTGTGCTAGAACTGCCTTTATCGAGAACAAAGGCATTGCATTTCAGCCATACATCGCTGTCCCGTCATGTCGCGTTGACTGACTCTATCAAAAAGTCACAGCCACCACGGGAGCCTTATAACATCGCGTCACTTTGGCCTCTACGACGGAACGTCGTCCTTTTCGTCGAGGCGTTGATATGGCGTTTGACCTCGTCGTGGTTGGCGAAGGCGGCGGTCCCGACGAGACCAATCTATCGGCGTAAGGAGACCTGCACACATCGCGTTCGCCAACTAACGCGCACTTTTCCTCAAGCTACTTGTTCAAGCCTTCTGAAAAGGACTGGAAGGACGGAATTGTGGCGCTCGAGGCCGGCTCGGGTCTTGGAACGCTCCAAAAACTCATCGACCGTGACCCCCAGCTGTTCAACTCCACTTCAGCCGCAGAGGTCTACTCCTTCGTGCGGTGCTTCCTCATCACACATGCCCACTTGGATCACATTAACGCGCTGGTCATCTCAGCCGGGTCGCTCTCTGGGCCACGCAAGCGCGTATTTGCCGACCAACACGCTCTCCAAGACTTGGAGAGCGTGTTCGCCGGTCGCATTTGGCCCAATCTCGCGTCTTGGGATGAGGAAGACGAGGACCACAAGCTCTTGTATACTCGGTGGGTGAATTCGGAACATTGTATCCTCTTAATCTGACGCTCTCAGTATCGGCGCACAAGACATATACGAGGAAATAGCACCAGACGTCTCCGTCTGCTATTTTCCTGTCTCGCATGGCCATAACGAGGCAGGGGACTACGACTCAGCCGCGTTTTTCATCCGCCACGATCCGACCGGACACGAATTTCTATTCTTCGGCGATACAGAGCCTGACTCGCTCGCCCGTTCCCCGAAAACAATCAACGTTTGGCGTGCCGCAGCTCCTAAAATCCCCGCCTCCCTCCGCGCCATATTTATCGAGTGTTCTTGGCCATCCTCAAGAAGCGACGATACACTCTATGGGCATCTGAACCCGATGCATCTTGTGCACGAGCTAGAAACTCTGGCAGCCGGTAAGAAGATCAGCATGCGGTAGGACGATCTCATGCGTCGTTAGAGGTAGTCAAGATCCGCAACACCGCTCAACATTCGAGTCCAGTCCGTCCAGCGCGCAAAAAGCAACGTCTTGCTTCTGCGCCGCTCGATTTACGGGGTGCACTGGCTGGAGTTACGGTTTTTGTGATCCATTGCAAGGATACGCTCGATGGGCAACCAGGCCGGCCCAACCAGGCCCTTATTATTGGAGAGATAAAGGCCTTGTTGGAACCGAAAGAACTGGGGGTCGAGATAGTGGCAGCCCGCCAAGGGATGCACATTCGTAAGTTACTTCTGCATCGAGACGTGTCGCCCTCACAGTGCCAACAGAAGTTTGAAGCTACTCACGCTATTTATTTGTTTCTTGCCACGCTCACCCACTGTATAAGTAGTCCCTCATCTGTAGCTGTAGCGCGTTTGTGTTGATTATTGGACCTGTCGTCCATGCAAGTGTGCGTTATAAAGTCGTAAAAAAAAACAGTGTTGTATGTACAAGAAGGAGAGCGAAAAGAAATTCCCGCATGAGCATTCTAATTAAAGCAAGGCTAAAGTTGCCCGACAGCAGACTACGAGGAGGCGTACAGCTTCACCACACCATCAGCACCAGCGCTAGCCATGAACGGCAGGGAAGGATGGAATTCCGTATCCAATACGCCCTCGCGCGCCTTCTCTCGGTGGGTGGTGACCTCCTGGACACAGATATGCGAGCCCAGCAAGTCCCAGAACCGCACAGAGCAGTCGTGGCTACCGGAAACCAGCGAAAAGCCAGCAGGGTCAATGGAAAGCGACGTGACACCGTCGAGATGAGCAAGCATCGAGTGGGTACATTGCCCTGGCGGTTGATAAGCTTCCGCTTGTAGTCAAAAGCAGGGAGGACGGTACCTGTCACGATGTCGAATATGCGAATGTACTTGTCTTCGTGGGCGGTGACGAGTAGAGGCATGGTAGGATGTGATACAATCCGGTTGATCTGCGTCGCTGGTGTGCCGTCTGCAAAAAGATGAGAAAAATGGATTGAACGGACGCAAGGGGCGTACCATAGCTAATGTCGGTTCCTAACCGCGTCAACTCCTTGCCATTCTCGATGTCGAATATCTTCACGACGGCGTTCTGGTATGCGACAGCCACCTTCTTGAGATCGGCCCTGAGCGCCTCGACCGCTGTCGCTCCAGGAGCATCCATGTCCTCCTGTAACTCGTCCGAGCTCTCCAGACCAGCCCACCCCCACGTCAGCTTCAGGGATCCGCCGCCAGAAGGACCGCTGACATCCCAAACTTTGACAGTTCCCTCCGCACCACAGCTGATGAGTGTGCTCTCGTCCCGCACGAGTGCAAGGTCCCAGACGGCATCCGTGTGCCAATGAGCTCTCCCCGTGCACGAGTTTCATCGTAGGGCGCGTATGTCGTATGGGATGGCGCTGGAAGGGCCCACACCCGAATTGATGAGTCGAGTGAGGCCGAGTATAGCAGACCTTTGGAAGGTGCATGAATGAGCCGCGTAATGGCTGCCGAATGGCCTCGGAGTGTGAGTTGGGGCTCAATCTCCGTTGTCGGTCGTGAACTAGCTCCAGTTAGGAGCCGCGGAGACGAAAAAAAAAGTCAACTCACGCAGAGGAGGCAAGACCAGCCACGTCCATCCGCCAAATTTTAACGGTACAATCATCTCCACCAGTCGCAAGCGACAATTCATGAGGGTGGAAAGGAGAGAGCCCGAACGGCATCCAAGTGACTGGTTCCAGTATGAGCGCTGCGTAGAGCCAGAAAATAACTGCGACGCACTTTCTTAAAGTCCGCTTTGATCGCCAGACCTTGTTGCCCTCGCCGTCACTCACGACGTTTGTCTCGTCGTCGTCCACCTCACCATCTTCGTCCTTTCCATCATCGTCATCACTTCTTCGGTCCCAACCATGCTGATTTTCGCGTGCGAACCGGGCCTGCTCTGACGCCTCATGTGACAGCCGCAGCTTCTCCTTCCATTCGCCGGCATCGTCTGGTCGGAATATCGCGGTCAATTGCCTGGGCTCGGAGTCGCCATCCCTTTCAGAGTTCAAAAGCGGCGGCGTCTGTGAAGGAACGATGTTTTGCTGCATCATGGACATGTTGGGGGAGGATTGTTGAGGTGGTTGCTGCATGTGCTGAAGCTGTAGGATTCCTGAGCCCATCGGGTTGCTCCGCTCCAGATTGTGCATTTGGGAACCTGCTGGGGCAGATGACGGCCCCGACATGAGGTTCATGTTCCCGTTCAGCATGGGGAATTCCTTGCCGGTGTCGGGCAAGTGTTTTCGAGGCCGTCCATTGAAAGCCATCTGTTCGAAAGACGGGGCAGTTGGGGAGGACGAGCGGCATGTTGCCGTTGTTGAGTAGCGGCCGGTTTGGTAGCGGGTTCATGGCTTGCGGTGAGGTGAGGTATGATATTTCCTGGAGACATCTTTGAGGGTGGATGTAAGCTTGTGCTGCAAAGAGCAGCGGGACGCGCACTGTTTCAAATAATCGCGACTACGTGCTCTGCTCTTTGGGTCACGACCTGGAGGTGGCTTGCCCAGTCCAGCGACAGTTGCCGACGACGGACCATTGGCGCCCCACGACATTGGTCTTCCGGCGGAAGCGACACCATTGACACGGGCGTCTGGGAGCGGAGAATCTACCAGCACATGAGCAGAATGGTTGGTGTGCGAAGACGACGTACCCTCGCTCCGAGGTGAGCTGCCACTGCTTCCCTCCTTGTTGCTTTGTGAGTCGTCTTTTTGAGAGGTGAGGGCTTGTATGGCGGCCAATTTCGCTGGCGGAAGCTGAGATGTCGGCGGAGGTTGGGTGAGCTGTTTTGAGCTGCAACACGTCAACGGAGCGACTGGGACTGGGCCAGAGCACGGACCGTTCCATGCGGAGTGCATATTCGAGCATTTTTATGCGTCGCATGAGGTCGAGTTTAACATTCTCGAACGAGCGACGTTCTCCTTCGAGGAGGGCAATGCGGGCCTGGGTGAGGGTCAACACGCGCCAAATTTGCGGTATTGGACGCACCCGCATTTCTGCGCGCTCGATTTCCCACTCATTTCTGTCGCGTTCGTATTTGCGCCATTCCGTCTGGAGATAGTGCAGAACGCTCGACAGATTCCAGTCCTGGCCGCTCTGGAACGGCGGAGGCGGTATTTGGTTTTGTTGCGGCTGCGGTTGCTGGGGGCCCTGCTGCTGGGCATTCTGGTTGGGTTGAAGACCCGGCAACATGGAGGAGCGCAAGAGACAAGTTTGATCCAGTAACAACTATCGACATATCTATTACTCCTTCGTTCCTACTTCTTGCCCGACCTGCAACTCGTTCAGTTCCTGCACAGCGGTGGCGTCGTACTTACTTCTTTATGCCACCGCCGGGTGGACCACCTAGGAATCATGTATCATCCTTCGTTGAGAGAAATATACCAAACCCACCCTTGAGGGCTACACACAGTCTTCAGCGGCCGATGAATGTATACGGGAAATGAACATACCTTTGTCGCGAGCAGCCTTTATCGCCTCTGCGTCTGCCTTCTGCTTTGCCTTGAAGGCTGCATCTTCCTCGTCGTCGTCTTTCTTATCTTTCTTCGGAGCCTGCCTCGTTCATGAGACGCCCTTCCACATCCAGCCCACAACCGAGCAAAGCACCTTCAATGGCTTGAGTTTGCCGCCTTGTCTGCCTGACATTGGTGGTCGCTTGCAGTTTGCGATGCAGCGTGACGATTACAATCTCAAATGCCGCAACTCCGATGCGGCCTTTCTTGTCGCTTGTCGCCGCTATGAATGCTCAATCTGTTCTCAACTCTGTCAACTCCTGGAATCTAGAGCTGTCTCGCTCATTCCGCGTCCTCGGCCCTTTCCCCCAGCACGCCCGCGAACAGCACTTTTTGTCTCCGTCCTTTCCGATAAACATTTCCGAGCCTCTGGACTTTGC